ACTCCGACACTGACATTCCTTGACTGTCACTCTGACACTGACACTCCTTCACTGACACTCCGACACTGTCACTCCGACACTGACACTCCGTCACTGTCACGCCGACACTGACACTCCGACACTGTCACTCCGACACTGTCACTCCGACACTGACATTACTTGACTGTCACTCCAACACTGACACTCCTTCACGGACACTCCGACACTGACACTCCTTCACTGACACTCCGACACTGTCACTCCGACATTGACATTCCTTGACTGTCACTCCGACACTGACACTCCCTCACTGACACTCCGACACTGACGCTCCTTCACTATCACTCCTTCACTGTCACTTTTTCACTGACACTCCTTCACTGACACTCCTTCACTATCACTCCTTCACTGTCACTTTTTCACTGACACTCCTTCACTGACACTGCTTCACTGTCACTCCTTCACTATCGCTCCTTCACTATCACTCCTTCTCTGACACTCCTTCACTGACACTCCTTCACTATCACTCGTTCTCTCACACTCCAACACTGACACTCCATCACTGATACTTTCACACTGGTGCTGATGTACAGGCACTCCAAAGCTGCACTTCGTACTGGCATTTGAACACAATGCTCCAGTACTGACTTTATTGCACTGGGTGATTCTTTGCTATTCTGATTCTGACACTGTCAAATCCAACACTGCCATTCCTGATTCCATCAGCGGTACATAGACTGTGGCGCCACATGACCAGTGCCTCAGCACTGGTGTTGCCACTGGTGCTCCAAACTGAGCTGGGCTGAGCAGTGGCCAGCAATCTCTCTGCTGGACGGCAGTAGGTATAAGGATCTTTGTTGCGTGGATTTTCTTATATTCATCTCTTTCGTGGTTTGGAGAGGATATTTGGCAGGTCTCCAGTCTGTTCAGTTATTCAGAGAAGGCTTGTGGCCAATGTAGGCCACTGTAAAAAGATGAATGAATTTGTTTAATAAACTGAGGTGTAACAAAATTGTCAGATTCACCAGTCTACAAGTTAAATAAATTCAGCTGTACAGGACAGTGGATATATATTCCTCCATTTTATATTCGCACTGAACGCATTGCCCACTGGAAAGAAATCTACTCAAAATTTAGGCTCACACACACATGCTGATCTCAGTTCTGCATTAGAAGCAACAGGATAACTGGTCTCAACAGGACTGACCCAAGGAATAGTGTTAAAATCAGCCAGGAATCTCTTTCTGCTTCACTATCTAGGGACTCTTCTCAAAATGTCCATGAGTGTCCATTACTTGAAGACTGGCTCACATCTTGGCTGGGCAAGCAACACAAGAGGAGCTTGATGTCTTTGTACTAGTCCTCTCCAACCACAATATGCAGGCATATACACATACTCACTTCCTGCCCCACAATGTGCAATGCTGTGGGATACTTTGCCCTGCAAAATACTTACCATGTTTGCTTGCATAATAACAAGTTACTGCTCGTTAATGTAATTCACTGTGAGATTCATCAAGAAAAGTCACAAAAAGCATTACTTCTTATACAGATGCTCTGCTGAGCGATATGAAGATATTTACCTGCTGGAAACCCAAAGTCACTGAAAGGATTTCAGAATTAATACATTGTCTTCAGTTTATGGTTGCCTAGTCACAAAACAGATATAATGGCATTGAATAAAGTGTGAAGTAGGGCGACAAAGTCTAATCAGTAGCATAATGGCGATGAGTAAATCATTCGTTAGATCCTCAGTTGGAGAATACAATCCAACTTTTGCTTCTACACTTTCAGAAAAACAGTGTGACCGTAGTGAAGGGACAGAAGAGACCTATTAGAAAGGCAGTAGGGATCAGAGAATTGGATCACATGGAAAGGCTAGAAAAACTGAGATGGTTCTCCCCAGTGTGGAGAAAGTTAAGGGGGAATTTAATAAAGCTGTTCAAAATTATGAATGATTATGGTATAGTAGATGGGGACATACTATTTCCAGTAGCAAGAGGGTCAGTTTACTATAACTGGGAAACTAATTGGGGCAGTTGAGGAGTACTTGTACTTGTGATTTGGAATCCACTGCCCAGTGGGTTAATGGAAACAAATTCAATAAAAACTTTCAAAGGGAATTGAAAGGGAAAGACCAAGGGAATGGAACTAACTAGATGACTCTTCAAAAGAGCTGGAACAGACATGATAGGCCAAATGGCCTTCTTTATGTTGTAGAACTTTATGATTCTAATTCTAGAATCAGAAAAAAAGATTTAATTTGGATTTAACTGCAACATTAAATGGCACTTATTTATTGCTTCAAGACGAGTGGGAAATAGGAGAAGATGGTCTAAGTAGAAATGAATAAAAAGGCAAATTTAAAATAGGTGTTCATGATAAATGTTTAGAATAACTTTTTACTCAGAACATTTAATATGTTGAGAATCCATATGGATGCTGCAATGGGAGAGGTATCAGCCTCACTGAGTTATTTTTTTAACATGCCTGCTTTGAAAATGCCTTCACTTAAAAGTTAAGGCTCTGGTTCAGAAGAGGTGAGAGATCAGCAGCAATCCCAATCCATTCCGGCAGGAAGGCTGCCTCGTACTTAAACACTTTAAGGAAAGGTGAGCCAGGTAAAGTGAAGTTTGTGAGGTAGATGACCTCCCCACCAGCAAGGTAGGCAGCCCAGAATCCAAATGTGCCAATGGTCATTATGGTGTGGTTGCAGTGAGCAAGTATAGCAAAGTCTCTTTGTGGTTTAGATTCATTGCCATCTCCTGAGAAGTAAACATCCCCCTTGGAGGCATCGATATTCTTACGACACCAATCTAATCCATTGCTTGTCACTATGAAGATAACATCCTTGTACTTATTTCTGAAGTAGGCCATAGCTTTCTCCAGGTAGTTTCTATCTGCAATGACACCCTTCCACACCTGTGGCATAACACGTACATAATCTCCTCTTCGAACATGAACACCAACATAAGTAACATTTTGACGCTGTGCTGTTATTTTTCTTAAGTACAAGTTGACCTCCTTTGTGACAAACTCATGAAAAGAGAACTCATGCAGGATTTCTTCTCGAATATGATGATAGAACGTCCAAGAACATGGATATCCAGAGAATTTAATATGGTCTCCTAAGATATTTTTATACCGTTCATCCATCCAGTCAGCAATGTGATAGTTTTGCCAAGGGATCTTGGCCTCTGCCTCCTGATGAATTGTGGGAAGAGTAAGCTTGAATGTCTGAGACAGGCTATTTGCCATACTTGGAAAAATGTAGGCTTGTTTCCTATTTAATCTGGCCAAAGCAAACAATGTTGCATATTGTCCCATGAGGTTGCCCAACCTCCCACTTGGTATGATAGTCCAAATGCCTTTGGAAGACCTGATGGCTTTGAAAGACATGTAATCTTCATTTGTGAGGCAGTTTGTGAGATTGGTGGTCATCTCTATAGTGGTGACATCTACCGAATGCTTGGAAAAATTCTGTTGAAATAATGTGAGCTTATCGTTTTCTTCACGATAAAGCATGCGGCCAAACATATACATGATGAGCAATGAAAAAGTTGAAAGGAGAAGAAGGATTAGAAAGCAAAGCTGTTTCCCACTGCACAGAGCAGCATGACAACTTAGAAAACTGCTCATCTTCACAGACTCACTTAAATTGATCTGCCACTTTGTCTCCAAGACAGCTGAGACTTCCATCAAAGTCCTATAAAGATACAATTAGAGAACTTATAAAATACAATGCAGAGCAATGTCAATTCAGAATCACTGTAATTGCTGATTGTTCATGTTGAACAGGTGATCAGAGGTGCAGGCAGCATGCTCTTTACCTGACTCCGTTTTCTCACTCAATGACTTTAAAAAGAATATCATTGTACCATTGCACTGTCCACAGTGTTAAATATCAGAGTAGGCTCAGAGTGAAAATGTGGGGTTAGTATGAAGTGGTTTCACTTTACGCCAGCATGAAATTACATGGGGGAGTCCTACAGTTAGAGTCCCATCATCCTGAAGGGTGTGAAATGGGTATCAGGTAAGAATTTTGGGGCAACTGGGGGAATATCCCAGGGGGAAGGCTTCTCACAAGGCTTCCCGTGAGATCCAGCTTAGTCCTCAACACTAGCTTTAGAACATTTTGCAAATTGAGCCTTTTCCATCGTTCAGTGAGAATTGTGGCCGATATGTATTTCACTCCATTCAGTGGCATTGGTTTCACATTGTTTTATGTCATTGTTTATGATAAACTTATCCATGTCAGATTGAAAATGATTCATTAAACTAGCTGCTGTTTGTGAGAGAGTTGAACAGGTCTATTATCCTTTGCATGAAGAAGTGTTTCCTAACTTCTTTCCTGAATGACCTGGCTCTGATTTTAAGGTTAATGTCCCTGTGTCTTATACACTCACCCCAGCAAAAATCTGCTACTATCTAGTCTATCATTCCTTTCAAAACTCTAAATCCTCATGGAAAACATGCCTCAACTAAAATATCCCAGGAAGTACAAGCCTAGTCAATGTCCTCTCTCCTCATAATCTAACTCTCAGAGCTTTCAATGAATTTGTTCTGGCCTCCATCAAATGTACAATGCCCAGATTGCAGGGGTAGTGTAACTGGATCTTTGTACAGCTGCAGCACAACATCCTGCACTTTCTGTTCCAGTCCTCTGGATACAAAAGTTAACCTTCCGTTGCTTAACATTTCAACTACACAGATTTACTCCACAAATTGTATCCAGTCCATGCTCAACTCCTGAGGGCCAATGTTTCAATGGCAAGTGTTTGAATTGCTTTGTGATTTACTGATTATACAGTCTGGTACCTTCAATTTGTTCAAGGACTCAAAGTGCCCAATGCAACTGGGCAGCACAAAGTATCCTGAAGCCCATACAAAAATAACTGCCCCAGACTTATTATGGGGAATCTATGGAAAAGGTATTATGAATAAACGGGCAGCACAGTGGCTCAGTGATTATCACTGTTGCCTCACAGTGCCAGGAATGTGGGTTCAATTCCAGTATGTGTGAAGTTTGCACATTCTCCCTGTGTTTGTGTGGGTTTCTTCTGGGTGCTCTGGTTTCCTCCCACAGTCTAAAGATGTGCAGGCTAGCTGGATTAGCCATGGGAAATGCAGGGTTATGGGGATAGGGTAGGGGACTGGTTCTGGGTGGGATGCTCTTTGGAGGGTCAGTGCAGACTTAATGGGCCAAATGGCCTTTCACTGCACTGTAGGGATTTTATAATGATCCCCTCTCCACAAAAAATACTGTCGCTCATTTAACCTTTGGGGCATGATGTGGGCAGATAGTGCACTGCACAAGAGGAGACCACTGATTAGTTTAAATCTGCTCTGCCACTCAATAAGATCATGGCTGATCTGATTTTAATCTCAATTCTACATTCCTACATATTCCCAATAACCTTTCATGCCCTGGGAGTCAATAATCTATACTTCTGCCTTAAAAATATTTGAAATTTCTGCACTCACTGCCTTTTGAGGAAAGGCATTTCAAATATGATCCTCTGATAGGAGAAAGGATTTCATCATCTCTGTTTTAATGAGGTGATCGCTTGTTTTTAAGCTATGATCCCAGTTCTCGATTCCACCACAAGAGGAAACATTCCTTTGATAGCTACCTGGTCAAATCCCCTCAGGATCCTAATAATGATCAAGGATAGGCATCTCGTGACCAAGAGCTGGAATAAAGTGTTGCCCCAGTTTCTGGCTGTGATCAGCTTTTTCAACACTGACCAGGGTCAGAACATGGTTTCACTGTGCTCCATCTGGTCTCAGGTTAGCACTGGACAGTTTTTCCCTGCCACTGAACTGCAAAAACAAAGTCATCTTAACAAGTAAAACCTGTAACTTTCAGGAGGTTCTCTGCAGACTTCCTTAACCTGTATCAGAGCCAAAGAGGGATGAAAAAAGAAAGTTAGAAAAGAGTTCTTACCTCAGAGAAAAATCAGCTGCTGCCTCTAGGAACACTGCAGCCCAGTTAAGCGTCAAAGCCACTGGAGCTAGAACATGTGCTGTGCTCAGAATCGTGAGAACATTTGAACACAGCTGCACCCTTTGAGTTCCTTCTTTTCTCACATGAGCATGTTTATTTTGTGAGCAGAAGGGTGCAGTGACCGCAACAGGAGGTGATTGGAATAAATGCAGTCGTGCATTAATGATTTATTATGAAGGCAACAGAATCTTTGTGATCATCTAGGGAAGATTCGATGCTGGGAGGGTAGAGAATGGAAATGTGAAATGTAGCTATTTCTTGTACTTTGTTTTTAGTACAATGCAATGCTTTACTTGTGGTTGGTGTGTTTGGTCACCCTCTGACAAAGTGTGCTCAGTGAGCTCCCAGTAGGGGGCGGCAGTGGGCACACAGTGGGTGAATCTTCCAGGAACTGCTGGGGCAGCATGTGTTATACTGAGCCAGCCAGGAAGGCTCCCCTGGGATGCACTCAAAAATATTGCCGATGAACAAGTTCGTGACACTCATGGATTTGGAGGAGATGCCAGTGTCAGACTGAACCTGCCTCTTCACTTTGTAGATGTAGATGGAGTAACTTTCTTTCCTGGACCCTCTCCTTCGTTGCTACTCTTCACTCGTTCAATATTCACAACTTTCTTAGTGCCCTACTTGGAGGTTTGCTGTGCTTTCTTCCCACCAGCCGTTGTGACAATCAAGTTCAGACACTGGAGCCCTGGATCATTTTGGTTCTTAAGCCATTTTCCCATCGTTATCAATGTTGGGAAATTATTGAAAGAACATACATGCATACCGTATGTCATAAACCCAAATTTCCTTGCTCATTCCAAACTCAATATATTGACACCTAGCAAAACCCATCAGTGCTCATGCCCAGCAATGCATTTTTTAATTACACAGCTGTTTCTGCTGCCGCTGCATTTGTTGTAAGCTTACACTCCCACAGCCCTGTGAAAATGGTTCAGTACCTCCCACTATCAATTCTGACAAAGGCACATGAGGCGTTGTTGAAGAAAGCAAGTCTTTATGAATTGCAAGCTTCTAAGGAACAGCTTATTAACGCCTTTTTTTCATATTTTTAAAAATCACTGACAACCTATCTGACAAAATGCTATCTTCTGTTCTCAGAAAATGTTTTTATGATGTCTAGTTGTCCCCACAATCACTCACCTCCTCTGCCCGAATGCCAAACCCCTTGCTCCCCTCACCCCACACACACACACACACACACACACACACACAGGCTGCTGCTGTGAATGTAGGCCTGACATGTGAAGCTCTCCTGATAATCTACAGTTTTATATCCCTGGGATCTTCTATTGTATGATCCCAATGGTTTTAATATACCGTCAATGCTGGTACCTGAAATTGCAGGCAGTACTCTAACTAGGGTTCTTTCCTTGCTTATCTCTGTAACTTCAATTGGCCCTAATACTGTTTAAGATCCCTGAGCTCCTGCATTTTTGACCTCTTGCTCCTCACCAATTTTAATCATTTTGCTATTGACAGCCATGCCTGCAGTTGTTCGGGGCCTAACTTATGGAATTTCCTTCCAAGCCTTAGTGCCTCTTTACCTGTTTTCTCCTTTAAAACACTCCTTACAACCTACTCGCGTGATTAATCTGAGTATCAAAATTTGGTGAAAACTCCTCTGTGAACACCTTAGGATGTTTTATCAAAGAGCAAAGAAGAACAAAGAACAATACAGCACAAAGACAGGCCATTTGGCCCTCCAAGCCTGCGCCAACACATTTTGCCCTTCCATACTAAAACTGTCTTCACTGACAGGATCTGTATCCCTCTATTTCCTTCCTATTCATGTACTCGTCCAGGTGCTTCTTGAACGCTGCTATTGTGTCTGCTTCCACCACCTCCTCTGGCAGCGTGTTCCAGGCACTCACCACTCTTTGTGTGAAAAACCTGCCTTGCACATCTCCTTTAAACCACTCCCCTGCACCTTGAACCTGTGTCCCCTAGTAATTGACCCCTCCATGCTCGGAAAAAGCCTCATACTTTCCACTCTATCCATGCCATTCACATTCTTATAAACTTCTATTAGGTTGCCCCTCAACCTCCTGCATTCCAGTGAAAACAAACTAAGTCTATCCAACCTTTCTTCATAGCTAAAATCCCCCATTCCAGGCAACATCCTAGTAAACCTTTTCTGTACCCTCTCCAAAGCATCCACTTTTTCTTCTGGTAGTCTGGTGACCACAACGGTACACAATATTCCAAATGTGGCCTAACTAAAGTTCAGCAATAACCTGTTCAGTGACACCTGGTTTGGGTTCTGCCAGGACCTCTCAGCTCCCCATTACAGCCTTCGTTCAAATATGGACAAAAGAGCTGAATTCCAGAGGTGAGGTGAGTGACAACCCTTGACATCAAGGCTGCATTCAATCAAGTGTGGCATCCAGGAGCCCTAGCAAAACTGGAATCAATGGTAATCCAAGGGCAAGTTCACTGCTGCTTAGTCATACCTGGCACATAGGAAGATGGTCATAGTTGTTGGAGGTCAGTCATCTCAACTGTAGGACATCCTTGCAGGTGTTCCTCAGGGTAGTGATCTACGCCCAACCATCTTCAGCTGATTCATCAATGACCTTCCCTCCATCATAAGGTCAGAAATGGGGATGTTCACCACCATTCGCGACTCTTCGGATACTGAAGCAGTCTATGTTCAAATGCAACAAAATCTGGGCAATATCCAGACTTGGGCTGACAAGTAGCAAGTAACATTCATGCAAGTAACATAAATGCCAGGATATGACCATCAACAATAACAGTCAATCTAACCATGCCCCTTGACATTCAATAGTGTCAGCATCACTGAATCCCACTCTGTCAACATCCTGGGGGTTATCATTGACCAGAAACTCAAGTGGACTCACCACATAAACAGAGTGGCTACAAGAGCAGGTCAGAGGCTGGGAATACTGGGGTAAGTAACACACCCCTGACTCCCCAAAGCCTGTCCACCATCTACAAGACACAACTCAGGTGTGAAATGGAATACTTCCCACTTGCCTAGATGAGTACAGCCCCAACAACACTCAAGAAGCTTGACACCATCCAGGACAAAGGAGCCACTTGATTGGCACTACATCCACAAGTATCAACTCCTCCCACCACCAACACTCAGTAGCAGCAGTCTGTACTATCTATAATGGCAGTGCAGAAATTCACCAAAGATCCTCAGACAGCACCTTCCAAACGCATGACCACTTCCATCTAGGAGGACACGGGTAGCAGATACATGTGAACACCACCACCTTCAATTTCCCCGTCAAGCCACTCACCATCCTAACTTGGAAATATATTGCCGTTCTTCCACTGTCACTGGGTCAAAATCCTAGAATGCCTTCCCTAATGGCATTGTGGGTCAACCCACAGCAGGTGGACTGCAATGGTTCAATGCAGTTCACCACGACCTGAAAAGCAACTAGAGATGGGCAATAAATATTGCCACATCTCACAAATGAATTTAAAAAGGCAGCTCAAGAATCTTCAGTTTCACCATCTTTATCTGGATATATTCAAACTGCCTTCAGCCACATCCATAACAAAATATACATCTGGGCCTCTATCTTGAATTCCAGTGTGGTTTCAGAACTGAAGAAGTCCTAATCAACATGGTCATCTCAGTCTGGTAGTTGGAGGAGAAATGTCATGTACAAAGGAGACCAGCATGTATTGCATCACTAGAGTATTTAATCATGCAAGCAGACGCAAACTACTGAAGGTGAAAAAGATTGCTGAACCTGCTCAATGAGATCTCTCCATGAGAACATGGTTGGTTAAGGTCAGCTATGAACCAATTAGAATCCTCTAAGATCCACGTGAGGTTGAACAGGATAACGTTCTGGCATTGGCACTGTTTGACATATTTCTTTCTTTGCCAGTCATGTGTCTTCAGTTCATCCACAGGTGGTATCCAATTATATACCAGAACCAACAAAAAGCTGTTTAAGCTTGACTTAAGATCTAAGACAAAAGTCCGCCGAGCCATCGTCCGATTATTTTCTTCTGCTACGTTGCACTAATATTCTATACTGAGGAAAACCGAAAGAACTGCGGATGCTGTAATCAGGAACAAACAACTCATTTTATTTTCTTCTGCGCCGATTTCCAAAGTCTGTGCGCAATAGCGACTTCTGAAACCGGTCGCCAATGCTAGGAACTACACACCGATCGGCATGCACGATACCTTCGGGGAACTTTGTGACCGCACATCTTAGAGGGAACGTAGCTGAGGAATACCTGTAGCGGTAAATCAACAGGTTTTTCACGCCCCAAAAGAGTTTGGTTGATCATCAACATAAGAAAGACAAAAATCTATCTCAAATATTCACAATCACCAGCAATCTGTCATATGATGCTGAAACTAGCATACGCATTGCAAAACTTCAGCTATTATGCACAAGCAGAGTAAGGGAGTTTAGAACAACAGAGAAATCAAACTTTTGAGTTTGCCAAGTCTGCATTCTCAATGCACTGCTCGACACTCTTGCACAGTAGTTAAGATCTGAACAAAATATGCTGAATGGGAGAAAAGAATGATATATGCACACTATTACTGAAACTAGCTGGGTATTCAAGATTTATTAATTGAATTTAAATTCAATCAGCTGAACACATGACCTCAGAGCATCTGCCCAAACCTCTAGATTACTAGTCCAGCGAAATTACCATTACCCCACCGTGACCCCACAGACATCTGTACTATGTAAGTAATTATAAATCAGATGAAATTCTTAATTCCTTTAGTTCAATCCCCATTTAGAATTTTGTCAGAAATGTATCACCAACATGTAAGGCACCAACATATTAGGTGTCTAAAACTTTCCTGACAATAGTGTAATGCAAAATTTAAAATATATTAACGTTTCCAGGAGCTGAATCAACTACAGTATTATGACACAACGTACTATAATGTTAACTAGGTAATTTTTGTTAACCTACCAAACTTGAATCAAAATGATGATCAAGTCAAACACAGAACATAGCTTTAATACATCATTGTAATGCAATTATTAAAGGAAG